CCTGTCCTGCCCTCAGGGCACGGGAGACTCCGGGGAGCGCGTGGGCGAGGGGTCTGCGAAATTACATCAGCAGCAGCGAAGGCTGGAAACGCCATGGTAAGCCCGACCTGGAATGCTTTTTGAGTACAGTTTATTTAATCACCGTAACCGAGATGCGATACGAAGATGCAAGGGAGGCAGAAAACCGGAGGAGATAAGAAACAAAAGCTGCTATCTTCCCTGCGAAACCGTGGGGCCGAGAGCAAACACACACACAAACGCAACGGTATCAGGCGTGTATGCAGGGCTCCACCCTCAGTAATTAACCACACTTCTAGGGAAGGGAATTTGGGGGGGGGATTGTAAGAAAACGGCTCAGGGGTCTGTATTCAAGAAGAAAACCCCTTGCTGAATTTCTTGAGAGCCGCCAAAGAGGCTCTCTGGAAGGGACGTCACCTCCCGGCTGTCCTCCAAGGCCGGCAGAGATGTCTGTCCCGGGGCTTTTCTTCCCTCTAACCTTTTATTTCCTGCTGCCAAGTGGAATAAAAAAGCCATCCAAGCCCAATAAGGAAAGGATGGGGAGCAGCAGCTCGCCCGCCTCCCCACTCAGGCGTGCCGAGTGGCTTAACCGCTTGCCACCTGCGCGAGAAACCGTCTCGAACTGCCACGGCGCAAACCCACGGGCATCACGCCGACACCCAAACCCCCTGCTTTCCCCGGCTGGCTTTTAAAACCATGGCATCCCTGATGATTTAAGCAGCCCCTTCCCACCTCATCCACAAAAAACTTCCATTACAGATTTTCCCCGTTGTGGTGGTCGTTATCTGCACCGCTCGTGCTCGCCTGCTTTGGCGTCGCAGGTCCTTGCCCTTCGGGGCGGGTTTGCTGCTGCGTTGGCCCTGATGGGGAGGGACGGCCCTCATCTCCTGGGTTTTTGCCGTAGGGTTTGGCTAAACCTGCGTGAAAGGCACCGTCCGGGGGCCTAAACGGAGACCAGAGGGCTGGGATCCCGCGGATTGGGGATCCACAGGTAGCTTTAACCAAACGCCCTCATTTTAAGCCCTCCCTCTCTGCGGAGGATCTCGGGAGAGCGAGCACGCGAAGCTAAACCCTCTCTCCAATTGAGCCACAAACCCGAGGGCTTAAAAACCACGCGTGGAAGTTATTATCCCATTGGAAACACGAAACTTTTCAGCCTTCCTATGGAGCAAACGAAGAGGGGTATCAACCCGCGCATCTGTTTGTTCAGGGCCTCGTTGAGACGTAAATACGCCCGGTGCTTTCATCTGCAAAGCGCGCGTCTTCGGTGCGGTATCGCCGAACATCCTGTGGACGGGAGATATGCAACTATTTTCCGACCTTTTTAGTGCACAGGTACACCTTGATCTTCCCCCACCCGCAGGGCGGAGATCCCCGATTTGACGGTAGATAAGTTATCTGAAGTTATTTATTGCTTATTTCTCGCTGCCGTCGGCGGGCGCCTGTTGGTGGGAGAAGCATCTGGTTAACTAGAAGTGGGTTTAAAAAGGGATTAAGCGGGGAGAGATGGAAATGTCACCATTACGTGGCGCGTTCCCACAACGAAAACTGACTCGGGGATCGTTTATAGCCCGGACGATCAGGACTCGCCCTCCCTGTCAGCGCACACCGGGATGTGGCAGCCCGTGGCCCTCCCAGCACAAAGCAAGCTTAGAAGTCCCCCAGAGTTGTTTTAGGTCCCCGGATGATCTTGTGCCTAAAGTGTGATTTTTTTTTTTTTTAAAGGTGTTCTCACTGGAACTAGTGAGTTTGGTGTCTATTTGCCCGGTTTTATTCAGCGATCGCTCAGGTGAAGCTGTTCAATCACACCGTCATGAAACTCATGTCATGGGGGGGGGGTTAAAACCTAATCCCGGCGTCCTCCTTCTGCTGCCTTTGCTCAGGAGAGGGTGTAACACCCTATTTTTAAACTTTCAGGGTTTAAAAAAAAAAAAAAAAGGCTTTAGTTTTGGTACTTACCCGAGAAAGAGTCCAAAATCCAGGTTTCTGGCATGGTACAGCTTCCCTACATAACAATAAATAAATAAAATTTTCTAAAGAAAGAGGCATAAATTTCAGCTTAGAAAAA